GGGGGTTGTCAGAGCTAATAACAACTTGGCATGGGAATGTTGAGGGTGCATGAAAAGGTAGGAGAGAAACATATTAAAGCACCATCTCCCTGAGTTTCACTTCCTTTTTTTTTAAAGGGTCTAGTTTTGACCCATAAACAGTGGGACAATGCTCTGCCGTCCATAGGATGGGGCTTTTTGCATTACAGATTGGAAAGCAGCTCTGTGGCAACTCTCAGTGCTACAAAGCTGATTTGAGAAGCTGAACCTCTCAAAATTTGATGGAAACCAAAAAGCCAAATTTCTTGGGGCTGAAAAGGTCTCTGATGAACCCCAAAGAGCCATCCCATTAGACATCTAAACCCAGCTGTTCACCTGCCTAGCTCTTTCATGAATCTTTCTATGAATCTTAGTCATAGCCTTCAAACCACTTCCTCCGGATTAGTCCCAGTGACTTCACTATGACTACTCCAGAATAAGTATGTTTGTGGGTATGTTGGTCCTTAACATTCCCCATTGGTTTTGAAGTGGATACTTTTGTTCTATCATTTCTTGTAATGTCTCAGGAAAGGGGAAAAACATATACTTGCATAATTCCTAAAGAGCCTTCAAATCTTAATTACTAATTCATCAGGCAAAGACATTTTTTTCTATTGTATGTTATGCATTACTAAATGCATGTGTTAATAAGCCAACATTGTATTATTACATGATCATGAACTTGCCTGCGAAGCATTTTTAGTTATGCCCTGCTCTCTCTCTCTTACTTTCATATGCAGAGAATTTGTTAAGCAAAATCCATATGGAGGAAGGTGCTGGCTTTGAACCCCATTAAATACATTGGGGATTTATTTACTTAACCCACAGCTTCTCAATACATTTGCTATTAAAACAATGTTCCATAAGATAATGGGGGGGGGGGGGGAATGCTTTCCTAACAGTCTTATAGCTTTGCATCCCATCAAAGTTTATGCATTGCTTGCAAGTTGCATGAAGCTCTGAAGGGAAGAGGAATATGTTGGTATCCATCTTTTCTAGAGACAAAGGAGCACATGTTCCCCACTGAAAGTAATAGCCCTTCCCTAACACCCCATACACACCAAGAGGAATATAATATAATCTTCTTTGTACATATAGTAGAAGGATATTTATAATTTATCACTCCCTACCTTGGTGATTCCTTAACTTAGATACCTGGGGTACAGTTTTGACTTTTCGTTTTCTAGGTGAAAATTGGTGATGCCCTTGACACTTGGAAATAGAGAATTTCATACTCTTGATAAATCCCAGAAAAATGGGTAGACATCATCATTGCAAATGCATAATAGCCATTAATATTGCCTCCTGTCATCTTGCTTTTCCCCTTTGACTTCTAGACTGTAGTGATGGTTCTGCAATTGCCCTGCACTCATCAGCTGTGAATACCAGGAAATCCTGGTATATGCTTTGCCTCTTTCAAGACGATATATTGGGACAGAGATGTTGGCTCAATGCTTTGGACGATATAAAGTGTTGGGTGCATCTAGTATAGTACCTTAATTTTTCAAGATATTATTTCAGCCCCTCTGGCAGTGTTAACACACTGTTTGAGAATCAATGCCCTAGCTATGAAACATGTTTGCTGCAGAATTCCTATGAAAATTGGTGAGGTTTTGGTGCTGGAGCTATTTGCTGTGCAACTGTGATTTTACTTCATACTCTCTAAGGAACATTACACACATTGCATAGCAGTGAATCAAAGTTTTCTGCAGTGCATTCACTCTGTGCCGTAGTTCACACATAATACTAAGCCATGGTTTGTTTAACAAACCACAAGTTTTTCTGCAGCTACTCAAACAACCCAATAGCTTGTTTCTCCACAGTTTGTTTTCTTTCCAACTACTCTTTGCTTCTGCCTTTGTAGCTTGATGAGTGTCTGAGGTGGGTAAATTGCTGGCTTCACACATAATACCATGCCATAGTTAAAGCATAGTTCATTAGGCAACAACAAACCATGACTTCGTATTGTGGTTTGTTGGCATTAAATAAGCCGTAGTTAAACCATTGGGTAAAAGTTGGATGATCACATTAACAATTTTAAAATAAATCATAGTTTAATCAACCCATGGTTTAGCTCTATGTGCGAACCAAGCCAGTGAAGGGTTGCAACTAAAGCTGGGTCTCTCAAGTACCTATATGATGATTGCACAGGCTTTTTGCCTGCACACTTCTTGAATCCAAGATACTTTTATAGATATACCTTTAAAGCAACTTTAAAACATGGGTAACTGAAGTTGAAGAAAAGTGGTGATGCTTTTGACTTGTGTTTATCCTTTGGGGTGCAGAGAGGAGCAGTGGCATGTTGTTGTTAATGTTGTTGTTGTTGTTGTTAAAAATGGATATTTCATGCACCTAGCAGCGGCTTTATTTCATCAACTGATTCATCATTTTCATTGAGATTTGGAGCAAAAGGAGCTAAGAAACAATTCAGTGGCAAAAGCTGCAGAGCTTTCCCCCCCTTCAGAACACTGTGTTTTAATCAGAACTTGTCATGATCTTGGAAGTGCAGAAAACCAGCCGTACCACAAAAATATATCGGTTGAAACATGGAACTCTTGGCACTCATGCTAAAACAAGCCCCACAGCACAGTGATGGGTTTTTTTGCCAGAAGAAAGCCCTTAAGTAATATCCGTATAAATCCGAAACCTCCGGTTTTAATCTAGAGAGAGGGCTAAAGTTGGCTCTATTAACTGCATCACATAAAGTGATGCCGGATTCAGTGATGATGGAATCCTTTGTTCTTGGCTACTAACAACATGAATGATACTTTTCCTTTTGTAGTTTGGAAAGCATCCTCTTTGGAGGGGAAAGGAGATTTGAGTCCCGTTTCCTCTTTGGTTGCGATCTAAGGTTAAGAACTCATAAAAGTACATGTTTGGGATATGGCAATCACTGTACAACATATTAACATGTATGGTTTTCCCATTCTCCTTGCCCAGTTGTACTGTGTCCTTGCTTGGCTTCACTGTTGGGCAGGACAAAGGTGGTAAATGTAGGTTGAATGCTGTTAATGCCTGTTTCCGGGTTTAGGGCAGTCAGCAGGCAAATGCAATGCCCATGCTCAGATGCAGAGCAGCATGCCAGAGATCCAGCAGGGGGCAGTAGTCTGTTTTCCTTTGCACTTGCCCTTGTTCCCAAGCAATGGAGACCAGACTCTGAGTGGGTTCCTCTTAGATCGTGCAGTACAGATGTTCTCCACCAGCCAACACTGCTGATGGGAGCTGTAGTCTAAAACAGGGATGTCCAACAGTTCGGTCGCAATCTACTGGCAGATCCCCGAGAGGTTTTGGTAGATCGCGGTCGATCTCTGGTTCCCTTTCCTTAGCGTCACTAAAACTGACTCCTGCCCTGCCCTCCATTGTTGTATGATCTCTGGAAAGGAAGATGGGAGCTTTCTTTGTGCAGCTGTTTTGATCCATAGCAATCTTTTTGTGAGTGACTTTACCCCCTTTGACCCTTGCTTTTAACTCCCCCCCCCAAAAAAAGTTAACCCCTAAAAATGGGGCTTTTCTCCTCCCTAAGGAAAGCTCAACAACTTTGAGCTGAACCCAAAAAAAATAGGGGTAGATCACTGCCAGTTTTTAATTCTGAAAGTAGATCGCAGTCTCTTGAAAGTTGGCCACCCCTGATCTAAAATATTTGGAGGGCACCAGATTGGGTTTTTAGCTGTCAGATCTGTTCATTCACCATATTTTAAGTGTCAATAAGAACCGTCCACTGAAAATGTGTAGCAAAAATGTTACACGATGGGAAATGAGTATCAAACGGCTATGCTAGTTGAGGAAACAATATTGGTTATGACTCTTGGTTGTGTTTAGTCACAATAGCAAACCAGGATTTGCTTTGTGTAATGTGTGAAATGGCCCTTCCTTGTTGTTGCACCTTCCCCGTCCATTTGCCAGCTTCAGTTCTCCTTCCTTGGCCATTGACATGTGGAGTGCTCCATGCTTCTTATGTCGATAGCGTGCTCTGTTGGCCATAAATTATGCCTCGAGGGGATACACAACCCACTGTCTCAGTAGTAGCATATGTGTCACATCTGGCTTTTAGAAAGCATACCGTGGAGGAATTGGACACTTCTGCTTTTATGTCTGCCTTGAGTGGAATGCTAAGTTGAAATTAAGGCCCCCTTTTTTTTAAAAAAAAAGCTTTTATCCTTGGGCTTTTGTTGAACCTTATAGCATAATATTTTCCTTGCTTGGAGGACCATACCAAAGATCCACTTAGCACAACAGTTGTATCCTTTCTAACACGCCTGAGAGACACTTAAGCTGGACTTGACTATCTCTTGTTTGACCTCAGCATCTGGTACTCGGAGGTACAGTATATCTGCAAATCAATTTAGCCACCTTTGCTAATAGCCATGGATATGTTAGATTTCATGTTAGCTTTCGATCAGTCTTTAGTGTCCTTTTCTTCACATAAGTAGGCTGGAAATTATGATAGGCCCTGGAAGGTCTAATGAAAACTGTCCATCTGTCTGCATGCGTAGGGAGCACTGCCTTGGCCCTTGAGCCTTTGGAATATGTAGGGTACAGATGTGAGTAAGTTTTGCCACAACCGAGCTCCTTAAGTCAGGAGAAAAACATAGAATAAGCTTGTACTAATGAGATTCCCCAAATCATGGCGTGCCCCAATAACAATTTTGTGCTGCTTAAATGATGGCTTGTTGCTTTATTTTATTAGATTCTTTAATTCTACTTCAAGGAAGCCACATCAGCTTCCATACTCATTCTCATTCTCTCTCTCTCTCTCTCTCTCTCTCTCTCATATACTCAATTTTGTCTGCAAGGTAGGTTAGGCTAAGAGACAGTGATGTGGCCAAGACCATACAGTGAACATGAATAAGAATTCTAACCTAGGTCTCTATGCCCATCACAACACACTATTTACTACAGCACATTTTGTCATAGAATCATGGGAGTTGGAAGGGACCCTGATAATCATCTAGTTCAGCCACCTGCAATGCAGGAATATGCAGCTGTTCCACCTGGGATCGAACCTGCAACCTTGGCGCTATCAACACCTCACTCTAACCATCTGAGCTATTCAAAAGGTGTCCGTAACCATGGGAAGGAGAGAAAATGCTGCAATGAGGTAGAGAAGCAAACACCTCCGGTGTTCAAGTCAAACCTTCAATTTAGTATTATTATGACTTGACCGGAAAAAGAGCAATTTCATATGAGTTGAGAAATGGCCTGTTTCCCATATCAACAAGAAAGGAAATGACTTCAAGTTGGACTCTTTCCAACACTCTTTCCAACACAGTTTGACTGTGAGGGACTCGGTTGTAACCACAACTTTCATTGGTTTCCCTTCCCTACAGGTAATCTATATGCAGAACTTCTTGTGTGCTTAATCACACACACACACACACACACACACACACACACACAAACGAATTTTCAAAGCACTTTATATATGCTGTCTGTAATTTTTGCTATGGTCATGTAAGGTTTGCCAGTAACATTCTGCATGTCACAGATGGGAGCCTGAGAATATGCTGGATGCTTTTTGTGAACTATAATAGCTATATTACTATGCAAGAACATATAGGTGGGCTTGATTGACAGCAGGGCAGGCAAGTGGGACATGCCCTTGGGGAACTAATTTGATGTTGAATTGTAACATTTCCAAACAGGTTAACCTGTGGCCAGTAGAGTCTTTTACACTGGTGTGCATAGTCTGGTTACAATGTGTTGCTTTAAATTGTGGGCTCAATCCCATTGAAACCCAGCAAGGAACACGCACGGCTCTCTTAATTATGGAACTTACTGTCTCTAAGCCAACTGCTTAGTTTCCTACATTTGCACCCCACCCTTTCTCCAAGGAGGTCAGTGCAGGATTATAACCACATAGCATAACAGTGTGTGTTAGATTAAGTTCAGATATCTTGATTTGCAAAGGCCCCTGAGGAGGATTCCTAGCAGAAAAGCCTTCTTGGTGTCAGTCCAGTTTTTCTCTGATACGCCACGCGAGCGTGTTGTATGAGAGGCAGCAAAGTGACACAAGCCCTCTGCTTCTATTTAATGTATGCTCTCAACTCGCAAGACTATTGCTGTTAAAAAGGAACAAATGATCCTCATTATGTCAACAGCGAAAATGAAAGGGCTTCCACATAGTGATTCATAGTAAAATATTCCTTTTCATAAAATGGCACAGTGGCCATTTCCACTGATTACCTAGAACAGAACAGCCTTTTGTACCTGTATATGTACTCTTAGATACAGATATTTGATTATTCCCCCCCCCTTGCTGGCTGGTGGTCTAAATAGCAAGAACTGGGAACAGGGGCTAGCTCTGTTCATCTGAGAAAGCCTGTTGAAACTCTGTTATTTTTTGTCATGAAAAAAACAACACATCCACTAGTCAGTCACTCAGGAATGTAGATTCACTACCTTAGGCACCAGAAATAGAAGGGCAGCTTTCTATGAATACTGTAATGGTTTCATTATTTTGATTGCTGGTGTTGTAACGTTTAGGGTTATCTGACTTTAGACAAGTACAGACTTACACAGAGGTATTTTTTAAAATCTCCATAATTTGTCATCCATGTGCTTAGCTGAAGGTGATGACTGCTGCTGTCGCATAATAGGAAACCTTTCTCAGAGAAGTACATTTACGGCCCTGTTCTCTGACAAGTATATAATAAAATGTGTCCGTAAACAAACATATGTCACATGAATGCATGACATTACTACATAGAAAGCATCTGGGGGGAGTAAAAAAAGAACCTAGAAGCTCCATATATGTAATTGTACACATGCAAGTGAGGCCTTCCAAGAAATTGTTACAGTGTGGAGCATTCATTAATTCCAGTGTGTCTGGTCTAAGTCTTCTTCTTCTTCTTCTTCTTCTTCTTCTTCTTCTTCTTCGGCGATAACTCGTAGCCGAGTAAGATAGTCTTCCATAAACACGGTTTTAACAATGAGTCCATAAGTGACTGTGGAGGCCAATTCTGGATCCACATGTCCTTCCACAGTGGGGACATTAGTTTCCAGGCGGGAGTTGACCACAGTGTGGATTTGCCAAGCATACCTTCCTCTTAGCACATTTCTCCCTTGCATCCTGGGTTTGAGTACCATATTTTTCGCCCTATAGGATGCACTTTTTCCCCTCCAAAAATGAAGGGGAAATCTGGGTGCATCCTATGGGGCGAATGCAGGCTTTCGCTGAAGCTCCGACCCCTCTCGCTCTCCAGGCTTCAGGAAGACATCCGCAGCCTAGGCAGCCCTGCAGGAGTTCCCGCAGGGCTGTCTAGGCTGCGGATAGCAGCCTGCTTCCCGGAGTGCCCGGCGCGCTGAAAGCAGAGCGCCCGGCGCTTCGGGAACACATCCTCAGCCTAGTCACCCCTGCGGGAGTTCCCGCAGGGCTCCCTACGCTGCGGATAGCAGCCTGCCGCCCGGCACGAGAGACGCCCTGAAGCAGAGCGCCCCTCGTGCCGGGCAGACATCCGCAGCGTGTTGGAGCCCTGTGAGAGTTCCCCGCAGGGCTCCCTACGCTGCGGATAGCAGCCTGCCGCCCGGCGCGATGGGCGCCCTGAAGCAGAGCGCCCTGCGCGCCGGACAGACATCGGCCAGCCCCACAAGCTCGGGGGACAGCAAGGAGGCGCAGCGCCGTCATCCCACTGTTCCTTGACCTGGTTCGGGTTCCCCGACCTGGTTTTGGGGGGGAAATAAAGGAAAAAAATTTTTCCTTTATTTCCCCCCCCAAAAAACTAGGTGCGTCCTATGGGACGGCGCGTCCTATGGGACGAAAAATATGGTATCTTCAAAGCCCATGACACCTTTGGTAAAGGCTGTTCTCCAACTGGAGCTCTCGCAAGCCAGTGTTTCCCAGTTGTCGGTGCTTAGACTACATTTTTTAAGATTTGCCTTGAGAGAGAGTTTTTAAACCACTTTTGTTGACCACCAGCATTACACTTTCCATTTTTAAGTTTGGAATAGAGTAGTTGCTTTGGAAGACAATCTTCAGGCATCCGCACAACATGACCAGTCCAGCGAACCCAAGTTGAATACACCTGAGGAGTTTTGTACATTATGCTGAAAATAGCAAACAGAGGAAAGGGAAAGAGAATGTGCTTTTGCATAGGTAGATTTAGAAAGCAGGTATTTCATCTCTGGACACCAAATTGTCTATCCCAGTATTGATCCTAAGTGGACATACAGTCGAGCATAATTGTGTAGTAGCAAGCGTCAACTCTACCCTATATGAAGCGCACATTTCAGTTAAAGAAAGGGGCACTTGGATGTGTGTTTTGTTTGGCAGAGGAAAATTAAATATATCTGTTTCATGGGAGGAAATGGGTTTTTTGTTGCCTCTGGCCGCGTCTTAAATATTATTAAGTTGTCTGGAGCTCAACAGGAAAATCTGAGGCAGATGCCTTTCTTTCACCAAACAACAGGGCATGATTAAGGAGATTTTACACACATACAGTGAGCCTGCAACTTTAGTGCATTTAACTTCTACGCATTCACATTTACACGCATGGCAAAAAACTAGAAAGGTTGTAGGATTCCCGGAAAAATGACTTTGGCAATCCCACCCACCATTGAACCCAATCGGTTTTGACTATATGTGATTTTGGCTTTAGGAGCGATTCCTTGAACGTTACCCACATAAATTGTCATACAGATAAACAAGGTCTGATTCCTTGGCTTTGGGTTTAGAATGAGTACTTGGCTGTAAAATTTTGATTTCCATCTTTTGTTCTAGCTTAACTGTTCTGCTTTCTCTTCAGTTCCTTTGTTTTGTTGTATTAAATGGACTTTGCCTGAACTCCGACCTCCATTAGTAGAGGTACATATGGAGCCGTACTTCGAGCTTGTGGAGAATGTAGTAAATTATCCCTTGGAGGGTTTGTGGCTAGTCTAAACAAAAGTGCACCCTTGAGATATTTGATAAAAGCGAGTCCCAAAGGCTCATCTGGTGTCTGTATTTATGATTAGTTTTATGAACTTGGACAATACCCTTGACTAGCCTTGGAGAAATGTGAGTTACATTCATAGACTTAACAAGTGGGATAAATATTTATCATCTTGTTAATGGAAGATTTGGGAGACTAGTGGGTGGACATCTTCTTAAAAATTCACAGGACATTAAAATGGATGCAGACGCAGTAACGAATCGGTTTCTTAGCAAGTTTTATATAATAACTGAGGGGCATTTTTTTACAATATAATGTAATACCACTATCCACACACCCACACATGCAAAAATAAAAGAGATAATTCCCTCAAACGGTACCAGGGCTCTATGTGCTAAATTGCTCCCTGCTGACATCCCTTTGACATGTGAAGATGTCTTAGTCCAGGCCTTTAGGCAGAGATGGGGTTTGGTCCTGAAGGGATATTACTGGTTTTTGTCCACCCACTGCTTTTTAGACTGTTTTTGAGGTTTTATGTCTGTGTAATGTTCTATATGTTTTACTTCGGAGTTATTGTTCGTTTTTTGCTACATGCACCACGGCCTAGAATGGTGAGGGCAAAATTAATACGGCAATGAATAAAAACTCATAGAACGCGATATTGGCGCGCAATTCAGTTCCGTAGGAAAGGGAGCTTCCCTCCGCTCCTTGCAGCTTCTGCCCCTTATGAATGTGAAGATAAGGGCTGCATAGTTTATAATTTCAGAATAATTGTGAAAGGGCAAAATGAATTGTGTAAGATAAGTTATGCAGTTGTGCTCAGTTTGCCCAAGTTGTGTGAGTCCTGAGTACAGAATTTTAATTGTTGAGTGCAGAATCCACAAAGCAGCAGCAATTTTGTGCCCCATGTGGAAGTGACAGGTATAAAAAGCTAGGCTAGAACTTGTCTGCCTCATCTGGTAATCAGATCCAGGGAAGTTTTTGTGGTTTTGCGGGGCAGGGTTTAATAGAGAGGCATTCAGTCCCATGAGCCCCAACCAGCAGTCTAACATAATGCAACCCAGGCCTGGGTTAACAACCTCAGTAACGAGGAGGCCTAAAATAAGGTAGTGTTTTGTCCCTGTACCTTGTAATTCAGATACTAGGCATTTTGGGGGTTGGTCGCACATCTGTCCCAATCCATTGT